AAGTACGCGGACGCATTCCGAATGTTGACTGTGGCATATGGTGAAGCTACCTTGGACCGAAGCAACGTTTATCGGTGGTACAAAATGTTCTCAGAGGGCCGAGAAGATGTGAACGATGAAGAGCGTGCCGGACGCCCGAGCACGTCAACAACAGACNCTAATGATGCCGCAGCCACCGTATTCCCCAGACCTGGCCCCCTGTGACTTTTTCTTGTTCCCGAAACTGAAGAGGCACATGAAAGGACGACGCTACGCTACGATTGAGGAGATAAAGACGGCATCGAAGGAAGAGCTGAACAAGATCACAAAAAATGATTTTTTGAATTGCTTCAAGGATTGGAAGAAACGTTGGCACAAGTGTATAATATTTGATGGGGATTACTTTGAAGGAGACAAAATAGATATTCATGAATAAATAAATAATTTTTGAAAAAACACAAAATTCGCGATACTTTTTGAACAGACCTCGTAAAACGTAAATGATAACTAAAATTCTTCTCTCTTGCGCTGACATTATTAGCTCTTCAGGGTCTCACTTGAGGATAAGTAATACTAACAACCAAAGTGGAAGAACATAACTACAGGATTAAGCAATAAGCTCGCTAATCTCATGAATTTCAGAGTGAAAGTACACATGACTATCAAATGGAATCATTAAAATGAATATATGGCGTTGGAAGATAATTCACGCAATATTAGTAAAGAGCGTTATTATATTATGCGTATAAATTACACCGGCACACAAAAAAAAAGTGGTCTGTACTTTTGATCAAACTCACATATCTATATGTAAGGGAAACGATTCAGACCGGAGTGAAGAAGAAAAGAAACGCGCTACATAGATCATTCGAAGATAAAAGAGTTCGTTACAAGAGAAAAAGCATAAGAAATCAACGATTTTTACGCTCGTTAACGCGGTTTTTTGCGATTTTCGCTAAAACCTGTGGGTAATAGAGCTCAACAAAGATGAAAAAGGGGTTCAGGCCATCAAAATACATAATAAATATACTTCATTAAGGTCAGTAACTTTTTTCCCGAATTGCTTTACGCTTATAAACGCGATTTGTGGCGATTTTAATCGTTTTTTTTTACATTTTGAGCTATTTCTCGCGATTTTCGGCAATACTATGGATGATAAATCTCAATAAACTTCAAATTTGGGTGTAGCACATCAAACTACATAAGAAATTTACTTGTTGAAAGTCAAACAAATTTTTTCCTAATTTTGTCGCACTTACTAATGCGATTTTTCGCTATTTTTTGCGATTTACTCAAAACCAAGAGGTAGACGGGCTAAACGACCTCCAGATTCGGTTTCAGGAGGCCAAAGTACATATAGATAGGTAGGTTTGGTCAAAAGTACAGACCGCTTTTTTTTGTGTGCCGGTGTTATTTATTACACGAATTCGATACATACCAGTCACGTTTCCTCGTAAAACCCATAAAGTTTAGCGATGTAATGACATGTATAGCAGAGTCAAAGATATAGAGGAACGACGAGTAATATGAGATAATTTAAGCTTTTTTACGATAATTAAAAAACTATTAAAGATAAATGAACTCAATTTTCACTGAATTATAATACCAAGTATTATGTGTAACATATTCCGGATTTCGTTTACCTATGGTAAGTTTAATACAGTATTATGTGTAACATATTCCGGATTTCGTTTACCTATGATAAGTTTAATACAGAATTGGGAAAGTTATTTTTTAAAAATAACTTGTTACTGTTTCTCGTAACCGATTCAAAAAAGTAACTCGTTCCTTTTAACGTTATTTATTTTGAAAAGTAACTTATTCTCATTACCGTTACTCGAAAAGTATCGAATCGTTACTTTTTTCATATAATATACTTCTTCATATTATAAACTTCGTATTATATACTTCGTTTCATACTTCTTCTTCTTTAAAACAAATTCAACCGTATGATTACATTAAAAATAATTTTTCAAAAATAATTTAAGAATTATTATTTAATTAAAGAAAAATAAATTGAAAAATTAATTGTTTATAAATTACAAATAAATAAATTATTAGTGAGAAAGATAAGTTAAAAAGTAATAATTCTAATTGTTTTTCATTAAATACGCACACTCGTTGAATTTTACAAAAATTCTTTATTAACTTTTAACAGAAGTTGATGCTTCATCATTTTGTCATTGGAGACCTCCTCTATGCGAGTTTAATATAGAGTTTCCACTGCTAAATAGTTGTTCTATGTTTCGATGAACTGCTTGGAAGTGGTATATTGTATTTAATAACAAATTTTTTAATATTCGGTTAGTCGTTCAACATTTCGATATTATTGTATTAGGTATACAAACGTATAATCAAATTTCTCAGCGAAATTCGATTCATTTTGAAAGAAAGTAAAACAAGTTTTTTAATCAAAGTATTCACCGTTGCTTTTTATAAATTTAAGCCATCTTTTAGATAGCTAATAAATTCCACCTCGGAAAAATGCTGTGCCTATGGATACAATAAAGTCGTCAAGGCATTTTCGAATCTCATCTTCTGATTGGAAGTAAGTATCGGACAAGGAGTGCTGCATTGACCGGAACAAGTGACAATCGGATGGAACAATATTTGTTGAATATGCCGGGTGCTGTAAGATGTCCCAACCAAGATTCATTATGGTGTCTTTTGTCTCGGAAGCAATTGTGGCCTGGCGATGTCATGTAACAGTTTTACAGGACGTTCTCTTTTGCCAGTTCTCTGTTCCTTGAATTCTTGATTCTGTTTCTTGAATTCTTGATTCAAGGCGATTAATTGGCGTTAGTAGCAGTTCGCAGTAAACTGTTTTACACAGTTCCAACAACTCCTAATAGAGAACATCCTTAACCGTTTGAGTCCCGGGGGGTATTGAAAAAACTCTGTCGAAGAATCCCAAACAGCGCAACCGTGCTTTTACTAAATGAGTACGAAAAGACCCAAGCAGCGCGATAGCGCTTGTTTTATTTTATTGTACATATTGTAAAATGTACTATTTATATTAAAAAGAGCTGTGTGATGTACTTGCGTCAGTAAATCTGAGCTTGCGACTTCGACAATCGGTAACGGACCGTCAGTTGTCCACAATGCTCGAAATGTGCTGGGTTTTCTCGACATAAAATCTCAACAGCGCGATCGCGCTGCTTAGGACTCAAACGGTTAATATCCTGCCAAATGTATAACAGAACCTTCTTTTCGAAGCGACTAGACTTTGCAACCGATGTTGATGTTTCGCTGTGATATACCCATGACTTTCTGTGTTACGGATTGTCATAGAGTATCCATTTCTCATCGCCCGTAACAATTTTCTACAAGAAAAACCTTCGACGTTTCTTATTGAAGAGAGAAAGACACATTGCCACTCGTTGATTTTTGTTAGCTTAAGTAAGTTAATGCGGAACTCATTTTCCTTCCTTATTGATCTTACTCATCTCACGTAAGGATTTGGAAACGGTTTGCTGCGTTACTCCCAACTATTCTGCAAGCTCCTTTTGCGTTTGTGCCGAATTCTCAGCAAGCAAGTGTTCCAAATTATCGTTGTCGCATTTTCGAGAGTCTCCAGAACGTCTCCGTTGTTTGTCGATTAGACTGAAATCACTGCTTGTAAACTGCTTAAACCAAAATGCGCACACATCGTACGATACAACACCTTTGCCGAGAAAGGAACAAATCGATTTCGCATGCTCTTGCAGCATTTTTTCCTTGTTAGAATTCATAAAGAATACAATGTCGAATATGTACCTTATCTTTTGCCATATTTTACTTTACTGAACTGAATATTTTTGAAAGTTATGTTAGGCCTTTCGCCATACTAAATGTTATTTTTAATAATTTCCCAATAATAGTTTAATATGGCAACATTACATAACCGCAAAAGAGTGGGAAAATTAATTGATTTTAAAATTAATTTCTTAACTATTTAAAACTGTTTAAAAACATTTGAATTATTCCTTTGTGCACTTAATATAAAGTTCTGATTTTAATAATCGTTGCAATTCCTTTGTTTGAAACTGAAGACACTTTGTTTTTAAAGGAGAAAATCATCTTTATGCTACATCGTTATGTTTCGGAAACGCCTACAATATGCATTACTAGACACCAGCTGCTCTGAAATATTGAGATTGCATTTGGAAACATCACTTTTTTATATAATTTTGTAACTTCAATCAATAATAATGATAAGAATGACGGTTATATTCATTACTGTTACCTAAAAAATGTTACTTAGTTATCATTACAATAACTATCGAAAAAAAGTAACGCAGTTACACAATTGTTATTGGAAAAAAATAACTTGTAACGGTAACGCGTTATTTTGAACACGTTATTTCCTAACCTTGGTTTAATGTTATATCAATTTTTCGAAACTAGATTTTGGATGGGTGATATAGACCCCTTGAAGAAATGTTCAAATATGATTATGCAGAGTTGGGAAGAAACGCGTTACAAGTAAAGCGTTACCGTTATAATTTTTTTCAGTAACGACTTGATCACGGCAAAAATTTTTTTTCAGTACTAACTGTAACAATTAACGAAGTTATATTTTTTGGGTAACTGTAACGAATATAACCGTTACTTTTATCGTTACTTTCAGGCTGCATCACGTTTCCAAAAGTTCCCTAAATAGCAAGAAAACATCGGATGATGACAATACTTTTTGCTTACCTAAAAAATAAAAAAACGCGTTCTTTTTCAATCTCTAACAAAAAATTACAACAATTTTTAAAATAAAAACTTTGTAATATCGAAATATTGAACGACTCACCGAACATTAAAAAATGATTTATTAAAAATATAATATATTGGGTTGGCAAATAAGTTCGTTCGGTTTCTTTGACTGGTATAAAATACAATTTATTTAATATACAAAATATATACTAATCAATAATGTATTGACCATTCTTTTATTAGGAATATGCAAAAGTTTCAGCCGCCACCGATACATGCCGCTGTAATTGTCTAACCGGCCGGCTACATGTGCGATTATTTTGTTCATGAAGCCAAGTATGACGGTTAATAAAGTTCATGTGCGCTACTGTTTGTTATTCATGTTTAATCTAGGAACAAATATAAATGAAGCATATAGTTCAATATATCAGGTGTATGGCGATACGGTTATTGATAAGCGATCGAAAAGGTTTGCCAGATTTAAGAATGGTGATCGAAACTTGGAAGACAAGCCACGCGCTGGTAGACCGAAGGAATTCGCAGACAAGGGGCTGAAATCTCTGTTGCAAGAGGATGCCACACAATCGACCACGCTACTGGCGAAATGTTTAAAAGTGGATCAATCGACGGTGGTACGGCGACTACAAGCTTTGGGAAAGCTCTAGAAGACTGGTAAATGTGGTAAAAATGAGTTCCACATACTTTAACGAAGCCTAATATTGGTCAACGATTAGGTATATGCATGTCGTTGCTGCAGCGTAAGCGATTCTGGATCAATCCAGGCCTGGCCAGCCATTAACATCCACTGCAAAATAGGATATCCACGGGAAAAAGGTGCTGTTGTGTATATGGTGGGATATGCATGGAGTGTTGTACTTCAAACTGCTGAAACCAGGCGAAACAATCACTGCACAATATTACAGCACTCAGTTGATAAAACTCAACGCCCAAATTGAGCGAAAACGCCCATGGACTAGTAGTACAGGACGCTGCAAAATCATCCTATTATACGACAATATCACACCCTATGTCAGTGTAACCACAAGATCAATTCTTGAACAGTTAAAGTGGAAAGTTTTATCACACCCGGCATACTCCCCAAACTCAGCACCTTCCGACTTATTTTGATTCGCTCTATGTAACATCCCCTAGCCCAACAACGGTTTACCACAGTTGCAGAAAAATTTGTCGCTGCGTTCTTCAGTCAAAAACCCGAATCCTTTTATCACCGGGGCATTCATTTATTGCCTGAAAAATGACAAAAAGTCATTGATGCTAACGGCTAATATTTCGTTGAATAAACGTGTTCTGAAAGGATCATGTTCCATCCATCATTTTAAACAGAGATAGAAAAACATTAAAAAAGAAGAGTTTCAAAGCCGTTTTTGTACCTCTTTTCAATTAAACAATTTTTTTGTATTGTATGATTATTAGGAATGCCAAAAGTAACCATTAGATGAGAAAAACTTAGATCCATAAAGTCTAATTAACGAATTAATTATTAGTCAAGATATGCTATTATAATATCTAAGCCTTTTTCACGACTAATAAGTAAACTAATAAAATATTTTCATTCATTATACTGCTTTACCACCATATTAACGTCGAATTAACTACAATATTTATCGTCCCCAAGGTGAAAGTGAATACAGCTGAAGAATAATTTATTTTATTACTCTTGACATATAGATACCCATTAAAAAATCAATAATAAGTGATCATTATTATTTACATACACATTTAAATCTTCACGCCGCGTCAGGACTGTGATCTTAGAAATTATAGAAGTTCTCTTATTTATATTTTTTATTTTTTACTTTTATTTATTATTTTTTTTATTTAGCTTTTTTTGATTTTTAAACATATTATATAACTTTTACGCATATATTCTGATGATAATTGCCCAAATTTTCTTTCCTCATCTTTATCTATCCAGTAAGACAAATCATGAGTAGCATCTATACCATTTTTGAAATCTCTTGACAGTCTATTGCGAACATGATGATTGAGTTGAGAAAACAACAATATTTTATTAGTTCATTTATTAGTTATAAAAAAAGGTTTAAAAAGGTAGATATCATAGTGACCTATCTAGACTAATTATTAATTATAGCTATGTTACGTCCTGGGTGTACCGGAAACTATGAATCTCTCTTTTTAATTATATGATTGGGAAACGGACGGATTTCGGGCTAGCGCTACTGTAACAAAGATAAGAGTACATTGGCCGTCGTTAAACGTACCGTATGGTTCCCCAGGTGTTTTTCATTCATTCCGCCTTCATGTAATGTATGTAGTTTATTTACATCTTGGGTACCCCGGGGACGATAGATTCGTTTCTTATATAACTAAGATATCTTGCCGCCTCTACGTTAGGCACGTATGTGTCCATACTGGGTACCTAAATAGCAACGGATTCCTCCTCTTATGATTATAAAACTAACAAATTTGATCAAGCGGTTTATGAAAAGATACGAGTACACGCCACCCACATATGTCATAAGGCTCCCGATGGGGCTGCGATCTATCCACTCTTGTATACAGTCGGTAGAACAAGGGCCCTCCTATGCGATTAGGTTCTTAGAATTGTTTATATTAATACTAGGAATTTTCCAGAGTAACCGTCTTCCACGCAACCTCCTCTCATTGGTGGACGTCATCCACCCCCTGAAATCCTTCCTATATAAGCCTTACCCTTTTTGCCGCGAGCGCAGTTACAATAGTAGTTTTTCTTGCAATCTGTCAGTCAGTCAGTCAGTGACAGTCACAGTTACAATTACAGTTCAGTCCAGACCAGTTCAAGTTCAGTACAGTACAGTCGAGTCCAGTTCAAGTTATAGTTACAATTAGAGTTACAGTCGCTGTCACAGTTGCAGTTCTTAGTGTTAGTTCTTAGTTCAGTCTTCAGCAGTCCACAACCATAGTCTAATCCAGCCTTCGTCTTCGTCTTCATTCGTCCTCGTCAGTCTATTGATTCATCTAAATCGTAAGTCTCCATTTCATATTTAAACATGACTTTTAATCATTTCAATCCAATTTCCAATCCCACTTCATCCCTCAAAACACATACCTGC